AATAATGAACCCCATTGAATTTTAATTAAATTTAAATTTATTTCCATTTGTTCTAGTGTGGCATTAATGTCACTTTGAATTCACTCCCCTCAGATAGCCGCACGTTTGGTTCGGTTCGGTTCGCCTTTCTGGGTCGCTGGACGCGATTTAAATTTTCAATTCGCATGCAATGACTTAATTGTTCATAATTTTGTTATCAGATTAACACAAATTCCGCTTAACGATAATGACTTCATGCAGTTTATGGCCAGTGCGTGCGAAGGATTCGCGGTCGTGCCGCAAAAGGACTCTGGCCAGGACTCTCGCCTCCATCTACCTCTCACTCTCAGGCTTATCCATTATCAGCTGCACGACACTCGGCTCATTCGGTCTCGTTCTTCTTTGGGGGCAACGCTGCCATTGGATTTTATCGCAGGACAACGCTGATTAAATATCAACGTAATTTATTATTCAAATTAAGTTTATCGGCGAACAAAAGGCGGCCATTTCGGGTGTGTGTGTCGGGTGAAGCTCAACGGGAGTCCAGGATATTGTATGTGTGTATATATATATAATAAATTTGATGGCTATGTCGTGTATGTGTGTGTGTGTGGGAGGGGAGTATACCAAATTGACATATCGCTTTCGCGCAAACATATATATATATATATATATGTACACACACTTGCCTATGGGCAAACAAATTAGCCAGAACACCATGCTAATGCACACACACGTAGCATACACAACACACACACCAAGTTTCCCCCTTGACGCTCGACGGATTTTATCAAAAATGCATTTGTCATTATAAATGCATCGCGAGTGCACTCACAGCCTGCACTCAACTTCACGTGCTTCTACACGCTCACTCTTGAGCTGCCGGAATACATTTTCGGGTTGAATTAAATAAGCCATTCATTAGCCGGAAATTTATGAACAGTGAGCAGTGAGTGTTGTATATAAATCGGTATAGATTTGCCAAGATATGTTATATTCTTGAAAATTTTATTTAGGCTTATAATATTTATAAATGAGATTAGTTTTATGTGTGGCTTTGAGAGAGTGAGAGAAGTTGTTAAAAGGATAGAAATATATGGTTGGTTTCCTTATGAAATGGAGCTACAATCAGGGATGAATACTTTATAATTGGTATTATTATCGAGGATGAACTTTATTTAATTGGTATTATTAAATCATTTCAACATACTTCAATTTTAAAATAATTTTGAATAAAAGAGCAAATATATAATATACAAAAATCAATAGAGAAAATAATATTAAACCATAAATATAAATAGAATTAAATTAAATTCAAAATGACGCTTACTTCCTAATTGAGTAAGAATTAAAAATGAACAGAACCTCTAAAAATAAGTTACATATATACTAAAAACGGTATTAAATGTAGGGTAATTAAACCTGATTAAGAAACCAAAGCCTAATGTACATAATTATACAACATATTTGGAAATCATAAACTACACATATAAGGTATATAGAAAATTTTACAGTTAAAGAGCATTATTTTACTAATTAATAAAAGTAAGTTTTACTTTTGAACAGTTTGATATTTTGAAAAATATTAACAGCTTCATCAGAGAGTATATATTGTTAAGACAGTTTTAAATCAAAGCAAATGAGCTTTATTGTTATATTTTTTTTTAAATGTTCTCTATACTTAATTATAGTATGTATATATTTAGTAAAATATCTGTTATTATATTTATATATTATATTATATATTATATTATATATTATATTATATTATTATATTTATATATTATATATAAAAGAATTGCTTTCTAAAGTCTTCTTAAAATAAATAACATCAAAGAGATAATTGCTAAACATTTCCAAGAGCATTCAAGCCTCGCTCTATGGCCTATTTTCATTGGAAAAGTTGTTTAATTTTCAATTATAAATTCATATAAATTCAATGGCTGACACGCGGCGCTCTTCCACACACCATAGTTGCTATGGCTAGATTTGTGCGCTTGCCACGGTCAAAACGTGTTCAATAATTTGTCAATAAAATGTCAGGCGAGAGAAAAAAAAGCAGCAAGCCCATTGAAGAGGCTGTGAGTGTTTGCCACAAAAAAATTGACTGTTTTATATATTTCTCTCTGCTGGCATTTCTGTTTTTTTCTCTTCTCTTTGGTAAGGTTTTTTTTTTAGGCCTGGTCGTGTGGCCTACAAATCGTCCCCTGAATGCGGTTAAAACTGTCAGGCCATAAGTTTACACAGGTTGAGGTGCGCCCAGTTCCATCTCTCTCCCTGTTTTTTTGCGGGGTATTCCTCCTCCGCCTGCACATTAAACTCATTGTGTTTATGGCATAAATTTGCATGTTTTCCACGTAAATTTTTCAATTTGAATGGACGCTTTCGATCCTTTTCTTTTTTTTTTGGGCCAAGGGTCCCGGACTTCCATAGGCCCTTTTGTGTCAAGGTGGGATATTGTTAGGAGAGATGTTAAACAAAATTTAAGGCTAAATAAAGCCATCAGCGTGTGGCAAGCGAGAGAGATCGTATCGTAATGCTCTAGAAAAAGGGTTCGAGGTGGAGCTTGGTTTGGGGGATTATATATGGAGAGTGAAAATTATACATATGGTAAAGATAGGGTATCACTCTAGATATCATATAAAAAAATGTAATAAACTTAAAATGGCAAAATTTGAAATATTTTAAAATGTATATAAAACGTTATCGTAAAGTATCGGTATTATCGAAAAGCTCGCTTTACTTTAAAATATCGATATTATCGAAAATGTTATCTAGATTTTTATTTTATTAAGGTGCCATTTTAAACCTTCTGAAAACTTAATTTTTGAATACAATGTTATTTGCATTGTATATTTTATTTTTATTTAAAATATTAGCTTAAGCATTATTTAGGCTCACTTTTGGAACAGATTAATATATTAGAATAATGATTATTACACAATGTTTATATATCGTAATTTGCCTTAAATGTTTATAAAATATCTGTTTATCAATATTTTCTGCCTAACATAGGTTTGTTTTCCTGAGATTGCTTTAAAGCTGAAATAGTTTATCAGCTTTGTAAATTATATTAAAAGCTATAAAAAGCTATTGTTTTCAAATCAAGAACCCAATTATTTTACATTTTTCGTATGTTATTAAATACCTAATAGAATAAAAAATTAAATAAGCGAATACTTATACTGTTTGCCATTTATAAATGCTAAAAAGACATTTGGCATAGTTTTCAATTTGTTTTACTATCTGCTGTCATCTCCTGCTTATTTCTATTTAATTTTTTTACATTCACATTTGTGTGTGTTTACACATTTTTGCAAATGTTTTTGTTCGTCTCTTTTTTTTTGTGGCCACGCCAACCTAGAAAGCTTAAGTTCAGTTTTTGTTGGTAGCTCGGCAGGATATCCAGGATCTGGGATGTAGTGTGTTAGTGTGTGTGTGTGTGTGTGTGTGTGTGTGTGTGTGTGTGTGGCATGTATATAAGTGTCAAAGGCATGTGTTTAGCATGCCTCATTTGAGCGCAAATACACCTGCAGCCATCAATTATGCAAAGAGCCAGTTCCCTCACCATTCGTCTGTCCATTTGTCTAAATGTCCATCCGTTGCCAGGACAGACTTGCCTCCATCAGAGAGGCAAGTTCAACTCCAACTCCGGTTACGTTTACGGCTTGGTCTACGGCTATAACGATGGCTTTTGGTATTGGCTTTAGGGGCTTTTCAGCTAGAAGAAATTCTAAGCTGAGAAAAATTAGTTTAACTTTGTTCTTAAGAAAATCTATGGTAAATTGTTGAAAATTCGTACAAGGAAAAAAGATTTATTAGTTTATGAAAGGTGTTATTTTTCTTATAAAATAATTATTTGTATTGATATATATCTACCATTTTCTCTCAGTGCCTTTGTTAGTTGTCCGGGGCATTCAGCACCGCCGTTAGTTTCACCTCTCAGGCAGGCCTTCGCCTCGACCCAATTTTCCCCCCTCACATCGAATTTTCCATTCAGCCATTGAAGCAGCAAGTCAGCCAGGCATTCGGCCATCTAGCTAAATTAATTTATTGGCCTGCCCCGCATACTCCAAATAACTGCAGTTTGCATAATCATCACACACATGTCGACACACACACACAACACACACTACACACAGATACATACAGATACACATATACTTGGGGACGTTGGATGGCTTATAAATATTTATTCAAACTGCAAGTTGCCAGGGCAACACTTGCTGGCATCTGAATTGCGGATTCTCAATGTATGTCGATTAATATATAACCTTGGAAGGTTAGATTTTGAATAAGGATTCCTCAAAAAGGGTTTTATAACCTTTCATAAAGATAATTAACAAACTGTCGTTTTTGGGTTTATTTTGGCCCAAAGAAATTGCGTAGGTAAATATTTATTATTTGTTTGGTGTTTCATGCATTCATTTATTATTAAATACAATAACAAACTGATTACATTTATCCTCCAAATACTTAAGAATTAGCATTGATTGAATATGCCTCAAAAATAATATATTTTTCCTCCCATTTACAATATAATTTCATAAAAAAAATTGATTCCCAACATTTATAAATACCAAATCATAATTTATTATAATTGCAATGTATTTAATTAGCTGTAAACCTACTATTTTTACCTGCCTACGCCCATGGCTTAACCCTGGCTTTTGTACCTGCTAAACGCTCACAATATTCATGACTGTGGTCATTAAAAATCGTTTACCAAAAACTAAAGTTTAACTACGAGCACACGCCCAATTTGCTGGCAATGCTCCCCCCCCCCTCCGCATTTTGTCCGAAAATCCCATGAAAACGTTGCCTAATTGGGGTTAACAATTTCGAAAACTTATCGAACTATGAGCAAGGACAACGCCCAGCTCATCAATTATGCTGCTCAAGTGCCTTGTGTAAATGTGTGTATATATACTGAATGAATGTCCTTTGGGGCATTCGACGAGTATAAAAGGCCATGCTCTGTCTCAAGGATTATGAATTAAAAATTGTGTCCGGAAGACAAGATGTTGTTACCACGCTTCCTAACCACCTCGTATCCCATGGAGCGGCATTATTTTGCAGTGCCAAAATTTGTATTATGGCTGATTGGCTTATATCCGGAAAAGGAGCGTACTTTAGCAGTGAAATTGTGGTTTTTCTTCAATTTTTTTATTCTCACCTATGGTTGCTATGCCGAGGCTTACTATGGTATTCATTATATACCGATTAATATAGCCACCGCGTTGGATGCTCTCTGTCCTGTGGCCTCTAGCATTTTATCCTTGGTCAAAATGGTCTCCATTTGGTGGTATCAAGAGGAGCTAAAGAGTTTACTTCAAAGGGTGAGATTTCTAACGGAGGAGCAACAGAAATCGGAGCGAAAGTTGAATCACAAAAAGAAGTTCTATACATTGGCTACCAGGTTAACTTTTTTACTGCTGTGTTGTGGTTTCTGTACAAGTACTTCGTACTCGGTAAGACATCTCATCGATAATGTCCTAAGACGAGCTCATGGCAAGGATTGGATTTATGAGACGCCTTTTAAAATGATGTGAGTGTGTCCTACAAATATTTATTCTATCTATTTACTCGGAGTTCTTTTTAGTTCTTATGCAAATTTCTAGTTTGAAATTTAATTAAATTCTCTTTCCAGTTTTCCCGATCCTTTACTACGACTTCCCTTATATCCCATCACCTATATCCTGGTCCATTGGCATGGTTATATCACCGTAGCTTGTTTTGTAGGAGCCGATGGTCTCTTTCTGGGTTTCTGTTTATATTTCACGGTTTTACTTTTCTGTCTACGTGATGATGTTGGAGATTTATTGGAGGTTAAGAATATCGAGGAATTTCCCACGTTAGAGCAAGAAGCTAGAATAGTTTGGAAAATGGAAAGACTTGTGGATCGTCAAAATGAAATTGCAGAACTTACCCAGAGGTTATCTGGTGTTATGGTGGAGATAACATTGGCTCATTTTGTAACCTCAAGCCTGATTATAGGCACTAGTGTGGTGGATATTTTATTGGTTAGTTGTTTTAACTATCTTTATTATTATATATATTTTATAAAGACTTTTTAATCCCTTAGTTTTCTGGCCTGGGCATTATAGTATATGTGGTCTATACTGCCGCCGTGGGCGTTGAAATCTTTCTTTATTGCCTAGGAGGTTCTCACATTATGGAAGCGGTATTTATTTAAGGAGTTTTTTTTTTGTTTTTATTATAGAATATTTTATATATTATTTATAGTGCTCCGATTTGGCTCGTTCTACATTTGCTAGTCACTGGTATGGACATAGTGTTCGTGTACAAAAGATGACTCTTTTGATGATAACTCGAGCTCAGCGAGTCCTGACCATTAAAATACCCTTCTTTTCTCCTTCTCTGGAAACACTAACTTCGGTGGGTTTGGTTATATATATTATTATAAATATTTTCTAATTAAATATAAAATATTTCCCAACAGATCTTACGCTTTACGGGCTCTTTGATAGCTCTGGCTAAATCAGTTATTTAAGATGCTAATTAAGTCATATAATAACTTGAAAATTTGATAGGCTTCATTCATTTTCAAATCTATTAAAAATATAAAAAAAGTAAAATCCAGTTGTAATGAGTGGTTTTTTCAAATAACTTTTCCTTTCAACTTTCTCTGCATATCTGATTTTCATCTTAATATTAAACGTATTGTATTTCTTTTCTCTGTTTGCTTGGTGTGCATTAATTCGCATATCCTTTACAACAATTTCGGTTTGCTTTTCATTTTCCTTTGGCACACCCATTGTCATTATCATTGACCCCCTCCCTGATGGTTGTTGTCGAATTAAAGCTGCCCTGTTGTTAAACATTTCCTTGAATCTCCTCATCATCCTTCTCCACCAGCAGCAGCAGTCCTTGCAAATTGCTTTCTTTACCGGTTGCTCATCACGGATCCTGTCCTTCTCCAGTACCCTTTTTGCTTTAGCCGGTGCCCCCTTGTTTGGCACTCTCCTCTGGGCCATTCCACTTGGCCATTTTCAGTTGCACGCTGAACCAACTGCAGTTCATTTCCATATCCCAAGCACTGTGATAAATAAACAATACTATGTGTATGGAAAAAATGTAAATAAATTAAGTTAATCCTTTTGTTTTTATATCCTTGGAGATTTTTAAACATTTTTAATGAGTTTTGCACATAATATCTTTGTTTTATTACAATCTCCATCAAATATCTCTTCAAAAATGTCACTTTTCTTTTCTTCTAAAAAATATTACAAATTAGTTTCTGTTTTTGTATATCCTTTTTTCTCTATGTGTAGTCCCACGCACACCTTAATGACATCCGGTCTCTGTGCGTCTGTGTGGGTTGCGCACTTCATATCCGAGGCGCAGTTGTTGATTTCCCCCTTTTTCCCAGCAAGAGCCTCTTCAATGAGTTGATGCTGTGTGTCTGTGTGTTTTGGGTTCTTCTCGGTTGATTTTTGGTGTTTTATATTTTTCTGTCTGTTTTTTTTTTTCTCTCTGCTTCCATGCCCATTGTTCATGCACAAATTCTTGCCATACTTTTTGCTGCTCCTTAATGTTGTAGTCCTTGAAATCCTTTACACGCACATGAGCCTTGGTGTCTGTCCGTCTTTGTTTCTTCTGCCATTTGTTTGTTTATTTTCGCTGGCGCCTCCTTTTGTCAAAAGTGCTTTTCGTTGTAATGTGTTCGACGTCAGGAGTTTGGAAACCCCTTTTTCTTTTCTTTTTATTTTACCAACTCTTACCCCTGTGTATAACCTCAGCCTCTTGAGCCTGTGTGATTTTTTTCTTTTATTTTCCTTTTGGTCTTTTTTTACAGGGTATTTTTGTACAATACAATTGGATATTATTGGAAAACTAATTAAAAACTTGGAGTATATTTTTAAAAGGGAGGATTGCTAAGCTCTAGTAATCTTTCATTACTTTTTTTTACTGAGTATTTTTGTAGCATATAATTAAATTTTTATGTAGGAAAAACTTTTAAAACTTTTAAATTTAGTTTGAAAGCAGATGCAACTAACCGTTGTTAGTGAATTTATACATTTTTTACCACGATATGTTTTTGGAAAATGGAAAATGTCTAGAAATCATTTGAAATCATTTGCCTATACCTTACAATTATTAAAATGTTAACTTCTATAGCCTTAATATCTTTTTCATACATTTTTCTTTAGCATTTAAAGTATGCTATTAACAATTTAAATTTTTAAATAAAAAAAAAGACAGAAACTGAAGCAACAATTATAAAATATAGGCAAACTGTTGATCAAACCTCCTAAAATTGGGAGTTTCTTGGGGTAACTTTTGATATTACAAAAACATTTTTAAAATGGGAATTATAATTTCAGACAGAATTATAAAACGCAGTGAAGAAGTCATTTCCGACCCAATAAATCATATATATTCTTGATCAGCATCAAAAGCCGAATCGATTTAGACATATCCGGGAGAAAAAAAAATAAAAAAAATTTTAAACATTTTTTAAGTGGCATTTTAACTAAAATCAGACATGTCAAAAATTGGTAAAAATTAAACTTCTTTTAAACTTTAATTTGAGTATGCAGATTTGTTAATCTAATAAAAACTAACATGGAAAAGCTTACCGAACTGAAATTAATGCATTTTTGGCTTAGTTATGAGATTTTTAAAATTTGATTTATCGACAAAATTGTCATATAAAATATAAAAAAATGGACTCAAAGAAAGGTATTATGAGTTTAGTCAGAAACTTGTAAAACAGTAAAGGGATAATTTCCGAACCTATATATCATATATATTCTTGATCAGCATCAAAAGCCGAATAGCTTTGAACATCTCCAGGAGAAAAATAAAATAAAAATTTGTTCAACATTTTTTTAAGTTTTTTTTAACTATAATTAAATATGTCAAAAATTGGTAAAAAATAAAATTTTTTAAATTCAACATTGATTATGCAAATATATTAAGCTATAAAAACTAAGATGGGAAAGCTTACGGAATTAAAATTAATGAATTTTCAGCTTAGTTATGGGATTTTTAAAACTTGATTTGTTGAAAAATTGTCATATAAGAATAACAATAAATATTGAGTCAAAGAATGGAAATATTTTAAGCTTAGTTATGATAGATTTCCTTATCGATTCTATAATTCAATTGAAAACTTTAAGGATATATAAATCTCGCTCCCGAAGTTTCTTGTTTCTTAATTCTTTTGACATTTAATTTACCAATTAAAATCAAATTGTTGAGTATTTTTATAGTTGCAATCTCTATATAGTTATAGCTGCTCCACTTGATATTTTTCTTGGCTTTATTTTCGAGGCTCTTCTGTTTTCTGTTCATTTTGCCTTTTCTTGGGGGGTCGCTCCTCTTGATGTTGCTGCCAACTTGCTTGTTGCTTGTTATTTTTATTTCGTTTCCCATTCAGTCAGAGCTCTGAACTTGTTTTTACCAGCAGAACACCCCCCAAAAGCAGTCCAAATCCCCCCAAACCCCTTTCGACCTCAACCTGCGCTTGTTAATGTTGTTCGTTTTCACATTTTTATGTGCATTTTGTTTGTGTGTGTGTGTAGGTAGGGGTGTGTGTGTTGTGTGTGTTTGTGGTGAACTCAACTCATACATCCGCATTTGCTACGCAATTTTTGCACTTAAGTTTACCTACTTTTTATGGTAAACACCCAAGGTTGCTTGTTTATTCTAGCAAAAATGTATTTAGGTGAGCTTAACTACATGTGGATGAGTGCGATGGGAATGGAAATGGAAATGGAAATGGGGAAAATTGTGTATGTGCGATTGAGGGGGCTGGGTAAAAGGGGGGGTGGACGGACGGACGGTTAAGGTCACCTGGTGGGCGTCCTGGGGGTCAGGAGTAATGCTCCAAATGTTCTGGCATCTCAAAATAAAAAAAAAAACAAATAAAAAAATGTAGAAAGTTAAATAAATACTTGAGCTTGGTGGAAAAGGTTATTGCAAATACATTTTCTCTCTGTTGGCTTTCCCCGATACTCGTAATTATTCTCCTGCTAGGGGGGGGGGGGAAGGAAAATGTGCACAGCGAATTAAGAAAGCCAAATAGTTCGTTATGGCCAGCGTGTATAAGCCCTATTATAAATACATTAATAAACACACGGCGGTTAACGAATAAATGTGCATAATTAAACGCGATAAACACATGCATAATGCACACAGAAATAAAGAAAATATATATGAAAAGCAAAGCTTCAATTGGAAATTATAAATGCTCTGGAAAATGCGGCCATTAAGCTTCAATTATAGCAATAATAAGGAATTGATTTCTTTTTATTATTGGGTTTTTTTTTTTAAATTTTATATACTCAAGAAAATAAATTGTTTGTTAATGTATTGTGTATTTTATATTATTATGGATTTTATTGTATATTGTATTATATATATTCTCGTACTTTTAATAAATGCGTTTGGCAAGAATATTTTTAAAATACGAATTTTAATAAATGTGTTTTCATATTTAGTTATTATCTTTTCCTAAAAGTTTTAGAGGAATATTTAAATTATTGAATAAATACGGAATTGAAGCCTTCTTAATGGAACTTTATTTATTATTTGTTCCCAATAGAAATAGAATTTAATCTTTTTCCATTTCCTCTAATTGGTAAAGCTTAAACCAAGCTTTCTTTATCGTTTTACGTTGCGGTCATAAAGACGGCTTTACGTTTATGACATCATAAACTAGAATTCCTTTAATTTAGGATATTAAAGGTCTTCTTTAATTTTTTTCACCCTCAACCACGTGGTTTGTTGTTCAGCTTGTTTGTTGTATTATTTTTCCGCACTTGTTGTTGTCAACGAGGCGAAATAATTTTAAATGTCATTTTTACCTACACGACTAATTAAATTTCGCATTTTATGCGCGCGACAGGCCAAGTGAAATGTACATAAAACAAGGAGCATGGCGGCATGGGGCGCAGCGAATTAACAAAAACAAACACGACCAACTGTAAAATGGTGACCCACCAGCAAAGATCTGTGGGGCGGGAAAATTGTAGGGAAAATGGAAAACGGGGTGGGGTGAGAGTGAAAAAACATAGGGACGTTTGAAGGAAGGAATGCGCCAGCATCGCCACATGAGTGAAATTTTAAGCAGGCGCCAAAGTCTTTGGGCCATTTTCTACGTTCTGTCCTAGAAAGGACAAGACACGTTCATGGAGGAAAGGCAAAAATATAAGGGCATTCGCGAGAGAGGGATCCATTAAAATTCCGTGAGGCATTGCAAAATAAATCCACTTGCAAGTGGTATAAAACAAAACAACAGCAACAGCAACAGTAGTACCACCGAACAGTCGAAAAGGCGAAGAAATCGCCATCCTGAAAGGCAAGAGGAAAAAAAAATGTATAAAACTCGTCATCGTCAGCGTTTTTCTTTCGCTGGCGTCAAAAGCCAAACGCATGTGATTCCTGCAGTCCTAGATTCCGAAAACAACAACACCCAGCATTCTAATACATGGGCACTTAAAGAAATGGGGGCTTTATTTTGTAGTTTAAAATAGTCCGATTTTT